GAGAAAGAGAAAGAGAAAGAGAAAGAGAAAGAGAAAGAGAAAGAGAAAGAGAAAGAGAAAGAGAAAGAGAAAGAGAAAGAGAAAGAGAAAGAAAGGTGTGCAGGACATAGCTCAGTGCAAAGGCCCTGGGTTCAACCCCAGGTCCACAAACAAAACAAAAAAATGGAACATCCCAGTCTTCCCGGAGGAGCAAAGTCACTCTGCACAGAGACTTGACCCCAGTTTCCAAACCAGAAGACAGTGATTTTCTGGAGATAACACTGCACATTTATGTTAACCTTACAGCATCTAAGGACACAGGGCCCTGAGGTCCACCTCACAATCCAGACTAGATCTTTACTCCTTTATGAACAATCATGCTTGCCTTTGAGCCCATCAAAACCACTACCTCATCTAAACTTTCTGTCTTGATTACTTTTTCTCACTGCTGAGACAAAATACCTGACACCCGAAGTTAAAGGAGAAAACGTTTATTGTAGTTCATATTTTATAGAGGTTTCTGTTCCTAGCTGGTTGGCTCCAAGGCAGAGTGGCACGTGGCAGACGGGCATCACAAAGGAGAAACAATTCGTGGTAGGTAGAAGACAGCAAAAGCAAGCATGTAACCAGCATGTCTTTCTGTCACTTGTATCTTACCCAGGCTACCTGCCCTGCAGGTGGGTAGCACTCACAGCCTTAATCCTAGCATCACACCATGAGTCAATCCCAGCATAAGTCCTTAATACCAGCAGCACAAACCCTAGATCCAGCCAACTCTAAAAGGCCCCACCTATGCCCACATGAGGTTTTGGGCGGGCAGAGATCTAGACACACCCATAACACTTTTTTTGTAACTTTCTTTCCCTTTGTGACACCCAAGTCTCACTGACATACAGTCTCCCTCATTGCAATGGGTTTATAACCCTGAAAGATTTGTCCCCAGAGGTCTTAGGTCCGTAAGACTAGGTCACCCCCTCCTTAAATTTCTTTCACTTCTTCCCCCACCTTTGCTCTCACTTCATGATCTTGTTTCCTGTTTTCCGAACCACCACAGAAGCAATCAGGGAGTCCATCCCCAAGTTCCCCGGGCCCTGGCCCAAATTCTTCAATCCTCTTTCTTCTGTCAGGCTACCGGTTAAGAAACCCCCTCACTGTGGCTCCTGCTGAGGAAACCAGCCCAGCATGCATAAGGCCCTGCCCTTCGCACCTGCTCCTGGCCTGGTCTCTCCTTACGAATCATGACTGCGTCAACTTCTCCCACTGCCCAGAACACTGTCTCCATCCTACTTGCCCTTTAGCTGAAGCCCTGCACTTTTCTTCCCTTTCCTACCAACTCTGCCTGAGTGCCCACACTGTGCTCTCCACTGCTGTCCTCTTCCTCCCAAACCCAGCCAACCAAGGTCAGCACGGTGACCTCTGCTGCACACGGTCGCAGTCACACGGAAGCCCTTGGCAGCAGTCCATGAGGCTGCCACTTCCTCCAATCAGGAAATTTTAGAAATAACTGACTCTTTTATAATATAGTGTAGCTTCTAATCATCAAAAGAACATGCTTCTTGCCTGTCTGTGCTGTCATGAGGAGGGGACCAGGAGGCCCTGGCAATGGGAGACAGGACTACTTCGGCTCGGCTACACGTCCTCCCTGGCCTCCCATGGGCCCCTGCTAGCCACCCACTGTCAGCTGCAGATGCGCAGGGCTCAGAATGGCCACGGCCTCTGCTGGTGTCTCTCGTACGGATCCAGGCCCACACCTTCTCTGCAGCCCATTTGCTCAGGTCACCTTCAAGGACTGCAAACGAGGCTATCACAACTTTCACCGCTGACCCCTCAGAGTTTCTCCCAGCTGCCCCTTATTCTTAGAACATTCCTCTGTTTTTGCTATCCCAGACACAGAGCCTTTGCACTGAGCTATGAGTCCAGACCCTCTTCTACTTTTTATTTCGAGACAGGGTCTGAACTAAGTTGCCCAGGCTGGGCTCAAATTTGATAACCTCCAGCTTCCTCCCAGAGTGCTGGGATGACAGGCTGCGCCACCCTGACCAGCTAGAAAATATTCTTAAAGAAACAGAATGACAGCCTTCTCTCTTTTCCAACATGCAAAGGAACCAAGGGTGTCTCAAGCTAAACCCCCAGGGAGCAGGGAAGTATTTTGTACAAAGTTTAAAATGGTAAACATTTAGGTTCAGGGGCTAGAAGTCAAAATTGCATGGTAACTAGACCACTATGATTTGTGGCACCCAAAGCTATGACAGGCCTCACACCATCGCTGTGTGAGACACTGAGCTCTGTCACCAGGGTGGCAGCAGCCCAGTGTGTACACTGAATACGAGCTGTGTTCCAATGAAGACTCACTTATGGACACTGGAATTGAATTCATGCAATTTTCATGTATCACAAATATTGTCCTTTGTTAGCCTCTTCCTCCTCAAAAACCTACATTTAAAAAATCAAAAAACATCCTTAGCTGTCAGGCTATATAGCCAGTCAGTGAGCCACAGCTGACCAAGCCTGGTGTTAAGTGATGGCATTCTTTTGATCTATCACACGCCGAGGTAATCACATCCACACAGGCGGCCATCTAAGTGCTCATTTCTAAATCTACCCTGTATCCCAGATCTCCTAAATGTTCGGCTCAGCAGGCCCTTCAAGATCTGAGGTGTCTGCAGCTGAACTCACGGTACCTCCGTTGCAGCATGCCCCATCTCTGGGGCTCCTACTCCCTAACTGGTATACAACCTCCTACTCACCAAAGCCACAAACCAGAGGACTTGGGTCCCTACCACCACCAACAACCGATTACCACATATAGCCAATAGTTTTTGTTTTTTTCCAGTACTAAGGGTTGAATCCAGGGTCTCCATCCCACTGTTACCTTCTCAGGTTTTTTACATTTACTTTATTTTCAGACATGGTCTCACTAAATTGCCCAGGCAGGACTTGAACTTGTGATCCTCCTGCCTCAGCCTCCCAGAGTACTGGGATTATAGGCATGCCCAGCTACTTACAGCCAATTCTGTCAGCCAAGTCTCTCTCATCTGTCCTTCCCTTCTGCCTCCATCCTGGCACCAACATATCACTTACTCTGTCTCTCTCCCGCCTTCTCTCCACCCCTTTTATTTGGCTTTTTGAGACAGGGTCTCAGTATGTATTCCAGGCTGGCTTTAAATTCACTATGTAGCCCAGGATGGCCTTGAACTCAAAATCCCACTGGGTGCTGAGATTACAAGTATGCACCACTACCCCCAGCAACCAGCAACTCTGACCTGGGTTCTGTAATAGTTTCCTATGTGGGCTCCCCATTTTTTCTCTTTTCCAATTCATGCTCCACACAGTAAATAGGATCTTTCTCCTTTAATGAAATGTTTTAAGAGAAACATAAAAAATCACGCACATCCATTTGGCTTTGTCAATGAACACTGCCTATTTCCAGTCTTGTTGTTTGCTGCACTGAGGATTGAAGCCAGGGCCTCACACAGGCTAAGTGTACACTAGCAAGGGGCTGTACCTGAGCCCAGTCTGTATAAAAGAAATATTATACATAGATAGTAGTTCAAACTCTTTGGATCACTCTCAGCTCAAGTCTTCTCTGCTTAAGGAGCTGTCACTACCCCAACACTGGTACGCGTCAGTTGTTTCCAAACTACAGGCCGTGGCCCTGTAGTGTGGCCTCCCAAGGGAGCCCAGACAAATTCTTGGGTACTCACCTAGATCTACTAATCAGAAACAATCTGTTTTAATAAGTTCTCCAGGCACTCTGGATGCATGCTAAAATTCGAGAACCACTGGCATATACAATTTTCCTACATGTTACTTTCACAAGCACGTGCCCATTAGTAACAGCACATTTTCAAACTTTATATAAGTGATGATGTACTGCTATTCTTTTGCAACTAGATTTTTTTTTAAAGCTCAACATTAGTGTTTTTGTTGTTTTTTACAGAATTGGGCATTAAATCTAGGGTCCCACGCATGCTAGCAAGTGATCTCTCACTGAGCTACACCCCCCAGGCTTTTAAAGTTTTTGGTTTTAGGGTATGTTTTGCTTTGTTTGTTTGCAATATAAGGGATTGAACCCAGCACCTTCACACTGAGCTACATCCCCAGCTTTTTTTTTTAAATCTTGAGTGTCACTCTCACTAAACTGCTAAGTTGTCCAGGGTGGCCTTGAACTTGCTGCCTTCCCTCCTTAGCTCCCGAGTAGCTGGCATTGCAGAGCTGTACCACGGCTCTCGACTCCACATAATGTTTCTCAGTTTTACCCATGGAGATACATGAAAGTTTAGGTCACCATTTTCAACTGTTTGACCTTACCACATTTGGCAAACCAAGTTTGTGCCCACCTCTCTCTGGGTATGTGGAAGAGTAGCTCTGATACACACAAGTGACCCTTCTAAACCAGAGATCTAATCTCCCCTGGAGTAGAAACATTCAACAGCCCCCTCACGAACTTGAGAAAAAAGTCCAAGCTGTTAGCGCCCCTCCAAGCGGGAGTGGTGGAGTTGAGCTCAGCAAGCCCTGCGAAGCACCAGCACTGACAGAGGGGTGTCTGACATCTACCCTGGCTGCCTCTTCGGCCCTGTAGCCCACACTCCAGCCTCTGAGCTTTCCTCAGCGCTCTGAGCACCCTCAGGGGCTGCCCAGGTTCCAGCTCCTTCTTCCTCTAGAACGTGTACTCCGAGAGGTCTGCCTTCCGGTTGTCCCCCACTGGTCCACACTAGCAGGAGTGCAGAGTGCCGATCATACACCTTCTCAGCGCACTCCTGCTCTCATGTTCACGGTCCTCGGCTCTGCGTGCTACTTTCTCTCCCGGGCTCTCACACCACTGAATCTGCTGTCTCCGCCCTCTCATCCACCACCTCCTTCTCCCACTGGAGTTCATCAGCCCAAGTTCACTGTTAATTCTTCCAGCCCTCAAACTCTCTTTACTCCCAATCTTTCACTGACCTTATCTTGCCAACAGGAGTAGATTCGTTTTATGGGGCCTGAAGCTTATACAATTTGGAGAGGAAAACAGTGCTTTTTATGAAATGAACACACACAAATGTGACTCACAGGACCTTGCCAGGGTTTGACAAGAGTCTGGAAGCTACGTTATAAACCCACACCTGTTTGCCTTCTCAAGCTCAGCACACGGGCACTCTATACTGCCTTCATTTTCCCTCTGCTAGGGTTGGGAGCATGTGCTCCCCAAAGCTCACATGCTCGAGGCTTGGTCTCCAGCCCCTTGCAATATGGGGGAGGTGGTAGGCTCTTTAAGGGGTGAGGCCTAGCCTGGCCCAGGCTTGTAATCCTATACCCCACAGGCAGGAGGTACAATCCTCTACAGTACTCTGGGAGACCAAGGCAGGTAGTTCTCTAGCTTGGCCCTGTCACACACACACAAAAAAAACATAGGATGGGAATGTGGCTCACTGTGGTGGTGGGTTCAAGTCCCAATACCACCAAAAAATAACTTTTTGCAAAGAGGCTGGGGCTAACAGAAGGAAGGCAGGTCATGAAGAGTGTGCCCAGGAAAAGATATTGGGACTCTAGCCCCTTCTCATGTCTCTGTTTCCAGCATGCCATGCAGTGAGTAGCTTCTTCTGCCCCTGCTTGCCTCCATGCTAGACTGCTTCCCCACATCAGAGTAAATGGCCAGGGACTAAACCCTTCAAAACAGCTAACCAAAACAAACCTTCTCCTCCTTTTGTTGTCTTTTTTTTTTTTTTTTTTTTCAAATACAGTCTCACAATATAGTCCAGGCTGGACTCGAACTCAGGACAACCCTCCTGCCTCAGCCTCCCCAGTACTGGGATTCCAAGCATTCATCACCACACCCAGCACCTTTCCTCTTTTTATTGATCTCAGGCATTTGTCACAGTGATGAAAAATTATCACACTCAAAAGCTACCTGTCTTGGTTACTTTTCTGTCGTTGCTGAGACAAAATACCCAACGCCCAAAATTAAGGAAGGAAAGGTTTATTTAGCTTCCACTGTTTGTGGAAGCTTCAGTCCATACTTGGCTGGCTCCGAGGCAGAAGATAGCAAAGCAACAAGAGCAAAGCGGGGAATGGCAACGGAACAGCAAACAGCCAGAGCAAAAGGGAGGAATGGCGGCCAGCATCTTCTTTCCCTCCCTTACTTTGTAAACAGGCTACCCCCACCTGAGGGGCGTGTCGCTCTCACATAATCTCCATGCTCCTCTTCCACAGGCTCAGGATGTGTACAAAGTAAGCACCCTGGCTTCCTGCTGAGTCACTTAGCCAAACCTCTAGACTCCCCAAGTTGACACAATGTATCAACCATAACACTACCATCAAGTACAAAATTCTGTAAGACTTCAGAAACTGGTATTTTCCAACCTATGCTGGAACCTCAGCATTACTCAGCAATCCATTTTTTGTAGACTGTACACTTAATGCCTTGACAGCCTAAATTATCCCTAAGTCCTGAAATTCTGATTCTCTTTTCAGCAAAGAATATCCAAACATTCACCTTTTACAGAGTCAACTTCATACCACTTCTTTGAGATAGAGATAACTGTCATTACTCTCATTTAAAAGAACTGAGTCAAACATAAACTGACTTACTCAAGGACAGTAAACTATATATGGAAGAGCCAAGTTTCCCGGCCTCAAACTCATTCTCCTCAGGCGTTGGACGGAATTGAACCCTGATGAGGGATGACACAGGACTCTAGCATTCTTAAAAATTGCATTTGCCCACCTCAATAATGGGTTGATTTTTTTTTTTTTTTTTTATGAGGCATATTTCTGGAGCAGGATGCCCTGAGGTCAGGATAAGCCTGTGTGGCTGAAGAATTTTCTGGCCCAGAAATAACAAAAAGAAAAACACTAGTTCTGAAAAATAGCCAGCTGAGAAAGTCAGGCACTGTTTAAACACAGGATTTCTGACATAAATAGGAAAAGCGTCCATAATTAGGAAAAACAATGAGGTGCACGGCTCTATACTCGTAGATGGTTTTAAAAAAAGTGGAACAAAATGAGTTACTAATTTACAGAATAGTTTACGAGAATAGAGATTAGCGTCACTAAATACAATCTACAAAATACAATCTACATTACAACCCCACTTTTTCCAATAAAGTGTACGTTAGACAACTACTCTGCGTGCTTACTCAGCTTTTAGGGTCTATAGTAAGGGCAAAGGGTGGGGACAAAACACTAAATAAACGGCTACATCTCTGGGTTCCTTCGGGTTGTTGTTTTTAAAGGGGGGAAGGTTTCCTTGGCTCCCAGTTCGTGGAGGTTTCATCCATACTCGGCTGGCTCCAGGCAGGGTGGCACATGGCACAGGGCAGCAGTTCAAGGCCGCAGAAGACAGCAAAGGCCGAAGAGGACTCAAACAGCTGCGTTTTGCTTTGTAAATAAGAGCAGCACAGGTCTCGCTGCACGCTGCCGGCCAGCAGCCCGAGAGAGCGGAACGAGGCCCGCCAGGAACCCGCGGTGACGGCCGCGCAGGGTCGTCGGTCCCGCGGGTGCGGGAAGCCACGGGGCAGGCGGATGGGATCCTCCGCGTCCCCCGGCGCCCCGCCGCGTCCCTCCCTCACCCCGCCCAGGTCAAATACACCTCACCTGCCGGCCAGCCCGCGCATGCGCCACGCAGCCGGAAGGGGCCGGGGCGAGAGGGGGCGAGTGCAGCGCGCGGCGCGTGCGCCGTGGCGTCCTAGCCTTTGCGTGCCCTCGCGTGGCGACCCGGTATTGTGGCTGATGCCGGGCACCTGGAGAGCAGCACTGAGAGCTCCGTTCCTTGTGGAGCGGAGGCTTCCTGAGCTTTGCGCGTGGGCCTGGCCCGCCCCGCCCAGCCTCGCCCGGCAGCCGAGCTCGAGGCGGCACTGAGGGAGGCGTGGGCGCGAAGCAGCTTCTACGCTGACACGTTTCCAAACTTGAATTGGAGAATAGTGGCACACAGCTTGGAGCTGACTCTACTAAACACCCAAACAACAGGATGTATGTGCATCCGTGTTTATAGCGGCACAATTTGTAATAGCTAGGTCTTGGAAACCTCCCAAACGCCCATCAACCGAGGAATAGATAAAAAAAGATGTGGTCTTTTTATACAATGGAGTACTACTCAGCTCTAAAGGATAAACTGGTCACTTTTATAGGTAAGTGGATGCAACTTGAGATCATACTCATAAGTGAAGTAAATCAGACTCACGTGTGTAAACACTGTATTGTCTCCCTTGTGCGAGAAACTGAAAGAGTAAATAAGATCCAAAATGTACAAAAGATATTGTGAACGGGGAACTGTTCAAAAGATAAGAGAAACTGTGATGGGGGAAGGAAGAAAGGGGGAAAAATATATTTATGCCAAGTTTCTCACAGTTCACTGAAAAAGTTCGTGCTAATACTGTTTGAACAAGATATCATGCCTAAATCCTGCACTCTCAGTTACTATGAAGACAATATACAATGTATGAATTATTGTAACTCTCCTACTAACCTGTTCTGAAACTTTCATTTGGGTGTTTTCCCCTCTTTAAAATAAAAATAAAATAAAAAACAGTAAAACAAGGGCAAGCATGTGCCAGGCTCGAGGTTTCATTCCAGGGCCACACAAGGGAAACAAAACCTAGGAGCCCCGAGAGCTGTCAGACCGGCAGGCACGAGGACTGGAGACCCGACACGGATATCCGGAACCTTTCTCACCGCACCTGGTTAAACTCCAAGAATTTATAGGAACTCCTCCTCTGGGCCCAAGCTAATCCCATTTCTAAGAACTGTGCAGAGATAATACATGCGGTATAAAGAGTATGTATAGTAGAAACCCAAAGAATCCTAATGTGCTGTAACAGGGATGGCCTAAGATAGGAAGCCAAATACAAAGAAAACAGTACACATGCCAGTGAAAAGCGAACTCAAGGTGTAATAGTTCAGTTTAGAAATACAATGGTACCATACTATAGAAATGTGAAATGACAGGAAACCACTGAAGAGTAAAGGACAACTGGGATGTGGGAAAAGAGAAGGGAAAGGAGGAGAAATTTTGTATGTATGTATATACAGGATAGTTAACATGGTTGTTCTTCTGTCTTCTATTTCTGTGCAGAAAGAAACTGTCAATGAGTCTTTGGTTGATCAGCATTGCATGTCTCTGTTTTCATGAGAAGCCACTTTGAAGATATCAATATGTAATACAAGCATTGTTAATTCCCTACCACTTTGTTTGTAACTCCGAATTGTCTGTACTGTACTTTTGCTATGTTGTAAAATGTTGTCTGTTGGTTAATGTTTTCCTCCTTTTATTTTTAAAATTAAAAAAAAAAAATACAATGGTACAAGCTGGGCATGGTGGCGCACGCCTGTAATCCCAGCACTAAGGAGGCTGAGGCAGGTGGATCACTGTGAGTTCAAGACCAGCCTGAGCTACAAAGTGAGCTCACAGATGGCCTGAACTGCACGGTGAGACCCTGTCTCAAAAAGACAAGAAAGAAAAGAAAAGAAAAGAAAAGAAAAGAAAAGAAAGAAAGAAAGAAAGAAAGAAAGAAAGAAAGAAAAGAAAGAAAAGAAAGAAAGAAAAGAAAGAAAAGAAAGAAAGAAAGAAAAGAAAGAAAGAAAGAAAGAAAGAAAAGAAAGAAAAGAAAGAAAAAGAAAGGAAAGAAAGAAAAGAAAGAAAAGAAAGAAAGAAAGAAAAGAAAGAAAAAGAAAGGAAAGAAAGAAAAAGAAAGAAAGAAAGAAAGAAAGAAAAAGAAAGAAATACAATGGTAAATACTTGGGAAAACTTGGAAATTCAAAGTAACCTTGCTGTCTTTCCTTTGAACCAGCTAATTTTCTTCCGAGCAAAACTACAAAGCCTCTCACAGCTGCTTATCTACACATGAGGCCGGAACACAGAAGACGGCTGGGCATTCCCATTTGCACGAACCCCTCACGGTGGGCCTCCATGAACAGGCTTCTCCTCGTTTCCAATAAACACTCTCCTCTTTTTGTCTGCGACTTTATTCAGTTTCATGAGTCAAAGAACTCTGGTTTATAAAACATTAACTTTTCATGTGACAAGAGATTTCTCAAAAGAAATCCTATTACAACACCACCATCATTAAAAAATGATGCTATTTATTGAGTACAGAATCTCAGTCTGAGAAGTTAGAAAGCTGTGGAAACGGATGGCAGTGATTGCACATGACTAGCTAATGCTACTAACCTGTACACTCAAAAATGGCTTAAAAAGTTGTTTTGCCTGTTTTACAATTAAAAATGGTGTAGACTTTTATGTATTGACATGAAAGGATACTTGTAATATATCTTAGAGGAACCAATCCCATTTTTAAAATGTATGTATAACCACACATATATAAAGTGTTTAATAAACAGAATTGGAACAATTTCAATTTTTTGTTTGTATGTATTTAATCTATGTAATTAACATAGATGGGCCTGATAGCAGTATGAGACATATATAGCAAAAACTCTATTAAAACATATCTACTCCAATTTATTAAATACTTTTTAAAAACAAAAGGAAAATGGGTCAGATGTGAAAACTTTGAATATCAGAACTTTGAAGAAAACAAGAGTTGAAAATTTACTAGATACAGGAGATTGAAGAAATGAATAGGTGCTGTCAGGTCTGTGACACATTTCAAAGATGCAAATTTAGGGCTCCCGGAGGGAGGGCCCCCAGCACACGGGGAGCCTCGGGCGGGGACCGCCGGTCTTTGGACCAGCGGCTCACTCCCGGCCTTGTAGGCTCCCGGAAGGAGGGCTTCCAGCGCACAGGGAGCCACGGGTGGGGAGCACCGGTCTTCCGGCTGGCTAGCTTCCTGCCTCATAGGCCCCTGGAGGGAGGGCCTCCAGCGCATGGGGAGCCATGTGGCAGCGAGCGCTATTGCGCGCCAGCCCTTAGGCCGGCTGCCACTGCTCAGCTGAGATCTATCATGACACAGAAACAGTGACACAATTGGCCCACCATGCACCAACTGCAGTTGCCCACCCACGGGTATGTGTGAATCATTCAAACTTTGAACAACCCCGGGGAATACATGCCATACAACGGGCCACTCTTGCTCCTGCCATTGGGAACCAGAAGGGTCCAGAGCCAGCGGAGGAGCAGCTGCTGAACAAGGACTCAGAGAACATGAGAATGCAGACTAAGCCCGGGGAGTCAGAGGTCCTGTGGACTGGGGTCACAAGAGCCGCTCCAAAGCTGTAAACTAGGAGGACCTTGCACAATACCTGCAGAGACTCATTGGAAGCCATTCTTCCCCTGACAGTACAGGCTGTGGTGGAGCTCCGGAGAAGACTGCAGCAGGATTCCTGCTGCCTGTGCTGACAGTTGGGGAGAGGACACTAAGTGGTTGTGGGGTCCCAATGCAATGGGAGGCTGGAGAGAAAACACTACAAAAAATGGCTTTCGCCTCAGACGACTCACTTGATTTTTGACAACCCTTAGGCTGTAACTACTTGTTAGATCCTTGTGTATCTCTGTCTTCCTAAGAAACCACTTTGAAGATATCACCATGTATTACAGCAACCATTGATATTTTCCTACTAATCTATCCATAACTCTGCAATGTTTGTATTGTTCCTATCCTATTTCGTAAATGATGCATGTCTATCATTATGTTTCCTACAACTACCACTGAGAAAAGTTAATGATTATTCAATAGGTCACTCATGTATAGCTCTATTTATTTTCTTTAGAAGCCACTTTGAAGATATCAAAGTACAGTACAACACTTATTTGATAAATCTTCTACCTCTTTTGTCTGTAACTCACTATTATGTCTATTTGTGTTCCTGAGAAACTATCTTGTAGATAACAATATGTAAAACAATAACCATTGATAATTTCCTACCACTTTGTAATTTGGTAAGCCCCTCCTATTATGATGTTATCCTTCTTTTACTCTTTAAAATAAAAAAACTGATTGAAACCCTCTCATTTGACAGAACAATGAATGCGTTACAAGTCTGTCTGAAAAACATGAATTTTTTAAAAATAACATGACTTCCAAAAGAAAATATTGTGAACTTCACCGCTAGTTCAAATATTTGCGATACTACCAATTATAGAACTGAGTTTAAGGCCCCACTAAGGACTAAAACTAGTCGTACTCGTCCTCCTTTGTGAACTCCACTCATCAAGCAGATCAGAGCTACTTCTGTGTTTTCAAATGTGCCTTTAAACAGCCGAAACACCGAGTTATCCTGAGGCAGTGGGCAAAAGTGCAAAGTGTTCTGTTAGTTTCAAGTGAGTTGTCGGAGGGTAAAGAGGCAGTGAAGCAATAAACCCACTATGTGTGATCAAAAATAATCTTTTATGAAAGTTACATTTTAAAAAATGGCATTGTTGCCAGGTGTGGCAGTACACACCTGCAATCCCAGCAACTCCGGAAGCTAAGGCAAGAGGATCTCAAGTGTGAAGCCAGCCTGGGCAATTTAGTAAGATATTGCCTCAAAATAAGGGCTAGAATATAACTCAGTGGTCGAGTGCTTGCATAGTATGCTCAAGGCCCTGAGTCAATCCCCCCATACCACCAAAACGAAACAAGCAGGTGAGATGCCACACACCTGAAATCCCAGCATTTGGGAGGCTGAAGCAGAAGGATCGATCACTCTTGAGTTTGAGGCCAGCCTGAGCTACACAAGACCTTGCCTCAAAAAAACAAAAACAAAAAATGCTTTAGTGTGATTTAACAGAAAAGGATAAAAAGCTGCATGTCACAGGTTTCTCTGCAGCTAAGTTGTATACACCTCATAAGTTCTTTACTATCAGGTACACTATATTGAGTCTTTCTTTCCTTTGAACCATATCACATAGGAGGGACAAGGGTGCTTGTGGGAAGGTGGCAGAGGTGGCACAGCCCCGGAGCTGGCAGCCAGACTGTGGCTTCCTCACTCTTTATCCAGTTTTCTGACTCTGGCATAGCACCGGCCATGTAACAGCCCAGTTCTATACCATGGTTTAGGGGAGCACTTCTAGAAGGTGAAACAAGTTATTCTGTGAGCTATCTACAGACCTGAATAAATGCATTGAGCTTACAAGATCTTGAGTGGATTCTTTTGCTTGCAGCCAAGAACAAC